TCTGAGGCTCATGATGACCCACAAGCAGCGTTTCCGTCGAATTGTTATTCACGCGGGTGGTAATGACGTTCGGCGGAAACAGTCCGAGGTGTTGAAGCTGCAAGTCGCCGCCGTGTGCAAGCTGGCTAGCACAATGGCCGACACTGTCATCTTCTCTGGGCCCCTACCTAGCACTAGCAGTGCAGAAGCATTCAGCAGACACTCGGCTTTCAACCGCTGGCTGTCTGGCTGGTGCCCTCGAAGTGGTGTTGTTCATGTTGACAATTGGAGTGCCTTTTGGGGAAAGCCCGGTCTCATCCGCTCGGATGATATCCACCCAACGTTGGCGGGTACATCCCTTTTGGCTAAGAATTTGGCCCTGGCTCTAAACTGTTCTGCTCGGCTCAAATGACGATGCAGAACTGAGGCCCGGGTGCAGAGCTGCTCTGCCACAACCTCTGAGCCCCCATCTGTTCAGTTACTAGCCTCAGAAGCTAGTCAGATTGAAACTGTGTGTGCATGTGTGTGTGTGCCTGTGTGTGCTCAGTTACTAGCCTCAGAACCTAGTCAGATTGAAACTGTGTGTGTTCCCCGCTTGAAGTCTAAAGCACTATATGCGAGGAAATCTGACCTAGGTGTCAGACACAGTAACTTAATAAAAGTTCAGACAGACAGAAATAGTTCTAACAGTAGGGTTGTTAAATGTGGTTTAATGAACGTCAGATCAATCTCGTCTAAATCGCTTCTCATAAACGAACTTATTATAGACAAGGGCTTGGATCTGTTAGCGCTCTCGGAGACTTGGCTCCAACAGGACGACTACGTTAGATTGAATGAGTGCACTCCTCCGACGCATGTTAACTACCAGAAAGCCAGAGCTACAGGTCGCGGCGGTGGTGTTGCGATTATATCACACACCAACTTGGTTCTTAGTCCCAAAACCAACAACGCTTTTCACTCGTTTGAAAACTTAACACTTTCAATCACCTGTCCTGGGTGGAGAAAACAAAAAGCAGTACTATTTATAGTTTTATACCGACCTCCTGGTCCTTACAGCGAGTTCCTAACAGAATTCTCTGACTTCATTTCAAACCTAGTTTTGGAATGGGAAAACATAGTTATAGCTGGAGACTTCAATATACATGTGGACGACAGCACTGACAGCTTAAACAAAGCTTTCAGCGCCGTACTAGATGGTGTTGGTTTTACTCAGAATGTCGAGGGACCTACTCACATTCATAACCACACCTTGGACCTTGTCCTGACCTACGGCTGTGATGTCTCCAATGTTGACATCCAGCGTCAAAGCTCGTTGCTGTCTGACCATTTCTTGATCACGTTTGATCTCGCTTTGGAGGACTTTCCTGTCCCGCAAGATAAAACCATAATGAAAAGAACCTTAAATGATAAATCTATCACAAGGTTCAAAGAACTAATACAGCCTATGTTGAATACTGCTGCAGGTGAACCTGTTCACAGCAGCTGCAGTCCCTCAGTCATCGACCAAACGGTGGGCAACACTATGGAGTCTTTAAAATCTGCATTAAATGCAGCAGCTCCTTTAAAACAGAAAACCATTAGGATTAGATCATCGTCGCCCTGGTACAGTGTTCAACTCCACACTTTAAAACAGGACGTCAGAAAATTGGAGAGGCTATATCGCCACTCCCACTCGGAGCCTGTCCACAGGGAGTGGAAAGCAGGTCTCCGAAACTACAAGAAGGCCCTTCGCGGGGCTCGAACTCAATACTATTCAACTTTAATAGAAGCGAATAAAAACAACAGTAGATTTTTGTTTGGTACCGTCGCTAAACTCACAAACTGCCATAGCGCAATCGAGCCTAAAATTCCAAGCTCACTGAGCAGTGTCGACTTTCTCCACTTCTTTAATAATAAAATTACATCCATCCGTGACAAGCTGGAGGAGGTTGCTCCTGCTGTTAGTGGTGGACAGGTTGAAGCGGCATACGTGACTTCCCACTTAGACTCTTCAGTGGGCCTTAATAAATTCATGGCTGTGAGCCAAGCAGAGGTGATCTCTGTGGTCACATCCTCAAAAGCCTCAACTTGCATGTTAGACTCAGTCCCGACATGGCTCTTCAAAGACATACTTCCTTTGATAATTGAGCCTATCGTAAATATAATAAACGCATCCATACAATGTGGCTATGTCCCACAAGCTTTTAAAACCGCGGTAATCAAACCCCTTCTGAAGAAAACAAACCTGGACCCAGAAATACTTACAAACTACAGACCGATCTCGAACCTCACTTTTATATCTAAAATCCTGGAAAAACTTATAGCTGAGCAGCTCCGCTGCCACCTGCAGGAAAATGATATGTTTGAAGTCTTTCAATCAGGATTCAGAGCTCATCATAGCACTGAAACGGCACTAGTCAAAGTCACAAATGACTTACTACTAGCTGCCGATAATGGACAAGTGTCAGTGCTGGTCCTACTGGACCTTAGTGCTGCATTTGACACAATAGACCACAGCATTCTACTGCAGAGGCTAGAATGTGATATAGGTCTTAGAGGAACAGCCCTTGGCTGGTTTAAATCCTATTTATCAGATCGATATCACTTCGTCAATGTGAATCAGGACTCGTCGCCTTATTCTGGAGTGGAATTCGGTGTGCCGCAGGGTTCGGTACTCGGACCGATTCTTTTTACTCTCTACATGCTGCCACTGGGAAACATTATTAAAAAGCATGGAATTAATTTCCACTGCTATGCAGATGACACACAGCTTTATCTGTCGATGAAGCCTAATCAGACAGATCAGCTAGAAAAGCTCAGTGCCTGCATAAAGGACCTTAAAATGTGGATGACTCTTAACTTCCTACTTCTCAACCCGGAGAAGACAGAAGTGATCCTACTCGGTCCGAAGCGCCTGCGTGACTCCCTCACTAACCAGATGGTTACTCTCGATAATGTCAGTATAATACCCAGTAACACTGTGAGGAATCTTGGAGTCATTTTTGACCAAGAACTCTCCTTCAAGGCTTATATAAGCCAAGCAACTAAAACGGCGTACTTCCACTTACGGAACATCGCTAAAATTAGGAATTTCCTTCCTAAAAGTGACGCGGAAAAACTCATTCACGCGTTTGTCACCTCAAGGCTCGACTACTGTAACGCTTTACTGGCAGCGTGCCCTAAAGCCTCTTTGAAGAGCTTCCAGCTCGTTCAGAATACAGCAGCTAGGATCTTAACAGGTACCAAAAGGAGGGAGCACATAACTCCGGTGTTAAAATCACTCCACTGGCTCCCTGTGGAGTACAGAATAAAGTTTAAAATCCTACTCTTAACATATAAAGCCATAAATGGCTTGGCTCCTTCTTATCTCCAAGACACGTTAGTGTCGTATCAACCAAGTCGAGCGTTGCGCTCACAAAACGCCAGACGTCTGGTGGTCCCTAAGGTCTCAAAGGTCACTGTTGGTGGCAGAGCATTTAGCTACCAAGCTCCTTTACTGTGGAATCAGCTTCCCATTTATGTTAAGGAAGCAGATACGGTCTCCACATTCAAGGCCAGGCTTAAAGCACTTTACTTTAATTTAGCATATAATTAGGTAATATATAATATGTAGTGTATATATTATATATATATATGCTGTATTATGTTATATATTATGTTATATATTATTCAATAATGTATTGTGTTATGTTGTATATTATGTTATATATTATGCTGTATGTTATTCTTTATTCAAGGCTAGGTTTAAAACAGTCCTCTTTAGTTTAGCATATGGCTAGGAAGGTAAGACTCGGAGAAGGTTAAACTCCTCAGAGTGTTAGTCAAGCTGCATAGGGAGTCAGTTTGCTGGGAGAAGTATGGTAACTTGAGCACTATCCTCTCCTCCTTCCTACTTTATCTGTTTAGCATTTTTAGGATTCTGACTGTAGTTTGTTCATTGCTATTCACCCGTTGTCCCATTGTCTGTTTCATGGTACGATGACGGGATCTCTGAGCCTGGCCTCTTCCATCTACACCTGCGGACTGCCCCGCCCGACCCGCCTGGGAGTGCTTCGGTCCTGCACCGGACCTGTCCACGTTCAGCGTCCACTGGTCCACGTTCTGTAGCTAGCTTAGGTCCTAGATCATTAGCCTGTCCGTCCGGAGGAGCGGATCCCTTTCTCATATGGGTCTCCCTCCCTGTGGGTTTCCCTAGTTCTCCTCCAAGGTTTCTCACTTTTTCCCACTGGGTTTTTTAAGAGTTTTTCCTTGTCGATGCAGGAGGGTCTTGTTGGACAGTTAGTGTCCAACAGAAAGGATTGGTGATGATCAGGACACTTTAGCATTCTACAACATGTATGGACATTTTCTTCTGTGTGTGCTTTATACTGTATTCTTCATGTGTTTTAACTGTTGATTCTCTGACCTGTGTTGGTGATTTCAATGGTTTTGTTAAGTCCTCTGAGATGACTTCTGTTGTGACCTAGGGCTATACAAGAATAAATTGTATTGTATTGTATTGTAATCACAGAAGTGAAGAACAGAAGCAACACCTGACGAGACGCTCCAAAAGACCGCACCATGTGGCGCAGAACTAAAAAAGGTCTCGTTTCATTTCATTTTTTTTTTTTTTTTTTTATTTGTGTGAAAAGAAGGATTTCTTTATTTGTGAAAAAGGTGTTGGTTATAGATTTGTTGTTGACAAAACTCTTCACATTATAGTCCAAGCTGGATTCGTCTGCATATCTGGCAACCTGAGTCAGGGAGAGTGGGAGAGGCTGCAGTACCACTTTTGGCCACATTTTTACACACTGCTCCTTTTAGAGATATTATGTAGATTTGGTATGCAGGCCTTTACCTTTGTTTCGCTTACAACTTGATTGCATTGAACCAAAGCAAATTGGTTCACTTGGTTCAAGTTGGTGACTTCCTGTTACTTACGATTGCAATGCAAATAATTTTAATTCTAAATGTTAGTCTTGAATTGCCTGTGTTTGAACTGTTCTAGACATTTAGGGCCATACAAAAGTTGAACATTGAATTGATTTTGACTTGAGTTTTACCTGATGGCGTTGTTGCCGTTGTCCGGGTCGTGCGCAGACACTGTCCCGATGGAGGTTCCGACCCTGGCGTCCTCGGACACCATCATGTGGCTGAGGGGGGTGGGGAACATCGGGGGCTCGTTCACGTCCTCCACCGTCACCTTCAGCGACGTGGTGTCACTGAACGGGCCCATGGTCAGGAAGGACGTGTCGATGTGGCGGTTCGTGGCTTCGATCCGGAGCGAGAAGCTGCTCTTGGTTTCAAAGTCCAGCGGCTGAAAGACAAGAGACAGACGTTTGGTTAGAGGTCGGAGAGACAAAACAGACTCATGTGATTTTATTTGTGCAGAAAGGTTTGGTTTTGTTTGGAAAGGACATTAGCCAAAAGGAGAGATGCATTGTTTCAGGTTGTAGCAGCAGTGATAATTTACACCTGTTGTCCCTGAGCAGGTTGTTGTAAAATAGTAAAATAAAAGTAGGTGGATACAATACCATACATTTTTAAACAAAGCTCTTAGGATTGTTAATGACTCTTCTGGCCACCCTGGGAAAGCCATGTTCCAGCTTCTTCCCTCTGGCAGAAGATATCGCTCTCTGAGATGCAGGACATCTCGTTACGCTAACAGTTTTTATCCACAAGCTGTTATCAGTGTGAACAGAGCACTTTAATGATTTGCACTTGTTTTGAAACTGTTTTAGTCGATCGATTTCACAGTGACATTTGTTTACTGTTTTATTTGTTTTATTACTGTCTTTTAATGTTGTTTTATGTCTGTATTTGTCTGTGCACACTGGAGACTTTTTGCTAATGTATTCCAATGTCGGTTTTTTTTACTGCAAATGGCAAATAAACTGAATCTGAATCTGATCTACATTATCAGACTGAAATTACAAGTTATAATAGAATAAAAGGTCACATAGGCGTTGTTCAGATCAGAAACGTAAACTCCAGACCTGCCCTGGTGTAAAAGTTAGTTTCGGATTTCATTCATGTTTATTCTGAAGTATTTTAGTTTAATAGAACGATCATGTTTCATTAGCGGTCGCTGATGTCATTCATTAATAATCCACTTGTTAAAACGTTGAGTGTAATCAGTGACAATATTCTCAATTAAAGTAGCACAGGTCGTGGTCATTCTACGCAGCTGTGAGATTAGTGTAAATACTGTAAATGCTAAAGTTTATGAGGTAGTTTTGCAGTTTCATGGATTTGAAAAATGTATATAAAGTTTTTCTCAGTCGCTTTTGTGCATTTTTCACATTATTTTTCACATTTGCACAACTTTTAGTGCATTTCTCAGAACAATTAGTGCAGATTTACAGGAAAAAAAAGATAAAAGAATGTATGAAATTAGCTTGACGAATATTATTTTGAGAAATGCACCAAAGTGACTGAGAAAAACTGTAAAAGTCAGCAGCTAATTGAAGCGCTTTGTGATTGTTTTGAGCGTCTCTCAGGTTTTCCAAATGGTCTTGAAAGGGGTCTATATTTGATCCTTGGGCTCTGTAAATACATGCCACGACCACTTTCCTGCTCTCATTTATCTCAACAGTGACAGTTTCCATAATTCAGACGTTTGGTTCGAGGTTGGACAGACTCGGGCGCTTTAAACAATACACGAGAGTCGGGCTCAGAAGCTGCTGGACAGAAAGATGGCGGCAGAAAAAACGTGCAGTGGCCGCCATCTTGGATTTCGAGGAAAGCAGAGGCTGAATCCGAATGAGCCAAAATACTTCCCTGTGCTTTAAAAGTGACCAAACTTGGGCAGCTTCAGGTTTTGGTCGATTAAAATAGTTTGAAGATGTTTTAACTGAATTCATTGTCAAATAGAACAGACTCTGGTCTTAGATCGTTTCTAATATTTGGACCAATTCAAAAACGACCTTTATTATTATTATTATCGTCACTATTGTTATTACTATACTGTTGATCTGCAGCCCATTCCTTTTTATGCATTTTTAAATTTGTCTGTACATGTCTTATTCTGATGTTTTGATTGTGTTTTTAACTTTTTTTTAACATGTAAGATGTATAATCTATAAATATTTTTTGTATCATAATCATTGCATTTCCTGTGTTCCAACTTTTCAAGTCTCTGATTTGTTGTTGAAGCATCCACAACTTTGTAAAGTCCTCCCAGACGACTTCTGTTGTGAATTGAGTTGAAATAACAGTCTTTTAATCTGACTGGAACAATACAATAATACATTACAATAATGTTTAACTAATTCTATCCCCGACCGTTGTCAAATCCAAACGCATTCTTCGCTACGTCTTAATCTCTGAATGCGTTTGGCAATTCTAACCCATCGATCCAAATTTAAAAATAAGCCCATTACAAAAAGCCATTACAATTTAACTTTACGACTCTAAACGCTGTCGCCAATTTGCTGATGGAATGTAGAACTTGTCAAAGCCGAGGCATTGATTTTCCTGAAGAGCGCGATGAGTGGGAATTGTGTGCACCCGGCCTTTTTTTTTTTTTTCTCAAATCATTTTGCACATTTCATTCTCTCTCGTGCCCTCTGTGTAATAAACTACTCCAGCCCATCGATTCAACAGTTGCATTGTCCGTGCCTCTAGCCCCGTGTTGTAATTGTCCTGGCGCGAAAACAAACAAAAGATCAAATTGTAGTGTCTGACAGAAATTGCGAGCGGTCAACAATAGCTTTTCTTTCCCCGGACAAAGTTTAAGAAAAAGCCGGAGCGAGATCAGCTGTCACCTCCACCACAGCGTCCTCCAAAAGAAAGCACTCGACACAAGCCGGGGACTGATGCAAGAACTCGCAACTCTTGGTCTAAATACATAACTGTGCGGTAAATATTAATCAGATTGTTTTTGTTTAGGCACCAGCAAGGTTCAAAACGTTTTCTGGTTGGAAGGTGACGATGAGGAAGAAGCAGAAGGTGTAGCCAAGTTGTAATAATGCATTGGTTTTGTATCCGGCTTTTCCGGACTCTCAAAGATGCTTCATATGTCATTATTTTTTTACTCCAAACACGGTGGAAATAAACTACTACAGTAGCCACAGCTGCCCTGGGACACACTGACAGAAGCGAGGCAACCAGTCTTTGCCATTGGCCCCTCCCACCACCACCAACCATTCACACACACACCAGACTCATTTTAATGTGGGGGAAGAGTCTTGCCTAAGGACACAACCACAGTTTGGCACTTTACAGCTGCAACCGCCCCACTGTGGCACCTGCTGTTCCCAGAGGTCTCCCATCATAGCACTGACCAGGCCCTGCCCTGCTTAGCTTCAGAGGTCTGACGGTATCTCGCTTTCACCTGCACATGTTTGCACGATATAATTAGTGCTTAGGAAAAAGAAACATTCCAGATCCTGCAGGTCCCAGAGTCAGGACTGAACATGGGGAGGCTGCATTTCAGATTCATGCTGCTTAAATCTGGAACAGTCTTCCTGAAAATGTGAGACAGGCTTCGACTCTGACAATGTTTAAATCCAGGTTAAAGACAGTTCTGTTTATCTGAGCTACAACTGAGGGATTTTATCTTCACTCTTTTCATGTACAGTGATTATTAATGATTTTATTGCCTAAAATTGTTATTGTCATTGATTAAGACTCAGATTGATTCACTGCTTCATGTTTTACGCAACTTTTCGCAGCTTTTTGCAGTCTTTGCTTTGTACTTTTCTCCGTGTCTTTTGATTTGGATCCGTTTGCGATTCTTTCTTTAGCTCTAAGTCACAGTATTATCTTCATGTTTGTCTCCCACATTCTTCCACGTATCGGTTTCTGCAGATTTGACCACGAGCGAGCGGGATCTAATGCTTGGCTCGGCTCAGAATGGCTCCACTCTGCACTTTCCTCCATGCACCTGCTTATTAAACGTTGGTAAGCATGTTTTCGCCCGGGTGCTGCTGACAGTTCGCCATGGAAACGGCTATAGGGGTTCTAACTACGGCCGTCAAAGGTGACCCGCTGTGTGCCCTGTGAGCTCTTTGAATGGTACATGTAGTATTTTTCTTCACTGGGCGCTTTCTGGTTTGTTGTGTGAACGTTTGAAGTTTAAAAGTTTGTTACCATCTGCAGGCGAAAGTGTAGCTAACGGGCAAAAAGGCACAATCAGAAAGTTCTGCAAAATCCCAATGTTGTTTACCACCGACAAATATGTTTATGCAAGTTGGGTATTTTGTGTTTCCGTGATAATGTGGATTTCTGTGGGTAAGTGATGTGTGTGTGTGTGTGTGTATGTGTGTGTGTGTGAGTGTGACAGGGGCAGATGCTGAGGGTAGGTTTCAGGCTGATAACTGATAGATTGATGTTTATTTGTGGTATAAAATGACCAAATTTGGGTTGAAAAGTTGATTGATGCAAATTGAACAAAAGACACAAGAGAAAGAAATAGCTTCCACATTAAGTGTCCTGGTTTTTCAGTTACTTTTGAGAAGAATAAACCAAAGAAATTATACAGTAAGTTGGACTTTTTGATTAGATGGAATTAGAGGGAGAGACCAGAGAGAGAGGCCAGAGAGAAACCAGAGAGAAACCAGAGAGAGAGGCCGAAGAGAGACCAGAGAGAGACCAGAGAAAGGCTGAAGAGAGAAACCAGAGAGAGGCCGAAGAGAGAGACCAGAGAGAGGCCAGAGAGAGAGACCAGAGAGAGACCAGAGAGAGAGGCCAGAGAGAAACCAGAGAGAGAGACCAGAAGAGGCTAAAGAGAGAAACCAGAGAGAGGCCAGAGAGAGACCAGAGAGAGAGACCAGAGAGATCCCAGAGAGAGAGGCCGAAGAGAGAGACCAGAGAGAGGCCAAAGAGAGAGACCAGAGAGAGAGGCCGAAGAGAGAGACCAGAGAGAGGCCAGAGAAAGACCAGAGAGAGATCCCAGAGAGAGAGGCCAGAGAGAGAGGCCAGAGAGACATCAGAGAGAGGCCAGAGAGAAACCAGAGAGAGAGACCAGAGAGAGAGGCCAGAGAGAGATGCCAGAGAGAGAGACCAGAGAGAGAGACCAGAGAGAGAGACCAGAGAGAGATACCAGAGGGAGAGGCCAGAGAGAGAGACCAGAGAGAAACCAGAGAGAGAGCCCAGAGAGAGAGACCAGGGAGAGAACAGAGAGAAACCAGAGAGAGAGACCAGAGCGATACCAGAGAGAGAGACCAGAAAGAGAGAGAGGAAAGAGAGACCAGAAAGAGAGAGAGGAAAGAGAGACCAGAAAGAGAGAGAGGAAAGAGAGACCAGAAAGAGAGAGAGGAAAGAGAGACCAGAGAGAGAATCCAGAGAGAGACCAGAGATGGAGAGTGCTCTGACCCAAGTTTCCTTCTGACTTTACATAAGGGCAAGTATCATGTTATACTTGCAGCCATTTTGTAATTCATATATTTAAAAAGTAAAAATATCAGAGAAACCGCTGCGATAGAGAGAAACCCCTGTGCCATAAAGTCTGGAGATGGAGCAGAGACGTTCTCGCTGTGAGGTGACTTAACTCTAATACCACTACATGATTTCTTAACGTCTTCCCTGGAAATGCCGTCTCCATTTGAACAGTTTCTATCATTTGCAGAAGAGAACAGCTGCTGCTAATAAACATTAGCTTTGTGCAACAATTAGCTTTGTTTCTGCCTGAAATGTGACGCTTCATCACCGCAACAAGACAAGACTCCGACGCTATCTCGCTGCGGCTTTTACGGTAATTGTTATTTTCTAAGATGAGATTCTCTGATCAACATATGCTGCTGCGGCTTTGCTTTGTTGTTTGAGAAGATTTGAAAATAACAATGAAAGAATGAATGAACCAATGAAATTTTCTCTTTCAGAAGCAACAAAACCTGTCTGCCATCGGCCGCTCTAAACAGTCAGACAGAGAACGGACTCATTCTAATGTGGGGGAAGTGTCTTGCCTAAGGGCACATCACGGTACTGACCAGGGGCTGCCCACCTTTGCTTCAGAGGTCTGACAGAATCTGGCTTTCATCAAGCAGAAAGAGATCAGAGAAAGAGACCAGAGAAGGCCTGGAGAGAGAGACCAAAGAGAGACCAAAGAGAGACCAGAGAGACCAAAGAGAGACCAAAGAGAGACCAGAGAAGGCCTGGAGAGAGAGACCAAAGAGAGACCAAAGAGAGACCAAAGAGAGACCAGAGAAGGCCTGGAGAGAGAGACCAAAGAGAGACCAAAGAGAGACCAGAGAAGGCCTGGAGAGAGAGAGACCAAAGAGAGACCAGAAAAGGCCTGGAGAGACCAAAGAGAGACCAGAGAGAGACTGTAGACAGAGTCTAGAGAGAGACAGTATATCAGCAGAAGACCAGAAAGAGATCAGAGAGACAGACCAGGGAGAGACCAGAGCGAGACCAGAGAAGAAGACCAGAGAGAGACCAGAAAAAGAGACCAGAGAGAGACCAGAGAGAGACCAGAGGGAGACCAGAGAGAGAAAGTGCTTGCTCTGAACTATGTTTTCTTCTGACTTTACATAGTTCAATCGCTGTGGTTTGAAAGTGAGATACCCCAGCTTTAACTGTGTGACGTTTTGCCCACGATAGATAGATAGATAGATAGATAGATAGATAGATAGATAGATAGATAGATAGATAGATAGATAGATAGATAGATACTTTATTGATTGATGGCGTGTCTCACCCGCAGCAGCAGCAGGAGGCCGTCCTGCGTCTCTTCGTCGGTGGTGATGTTGAACTGTCCCGCTCCGTCCCCGTCCATGATCCTGTAGTCCATCTCAGCGTTGGAGCCGATGTCTGCGTCCACGGCTTTGATCCGAGCCACGACCGACTGCACCGGCAACGACTCCTCCACCGTGTACTGGTAATTCTCTGCAACGCAAGAGCAGGATGTCAAGCTTATTTGTATGGCACAGTTCATACACGAGGCAAGTGAGAGCGCTCAACAAAACAAGAAAAAAACGTTAAAATCATAGAGAGTAAAAATTCAATCTCTCAGTTGAAGCACGTTGTATGAAAGGCCTGACTCTGGGATCAGCAGCAGGCCAGTCCCTGTGCTCCTCAGAGTCTCAGCAGGAGGCCAGTCCCTGTTCTCCTCAGAGTCCCAGCAGGAAGCCAGTCCCTGTGCTCCTCAGAGTCCCAGCAGGAGGCCAGTCCCTGTGCTCCTCAGAGTCCCAGCAGGAGGCCAGTCCCTGTGCTCCTCAGAGTCCCAGCAGAAGGCCAGTCCCTGTGCTCCTCAGAGTCCCAGCAGGAGGCCAGTCCCTGTGCTCCTCAGAGTCCCAGCAGAAGGCCAGTCCCTGTGCTCCTCAAGAGTCCCAGCAGGAGGCCAGTCCCTGTGCTCCTCAGAGTCCCAGCTGGAGGCCAGTCCCTGTGCTCCTCAGAGTCCCAGCAGGAGGCCAGTCCCTGTGCTCCTCAGAGTCCCAGCAGGAGGCCAGTCCCTGTGCTCCTCAGAGTCCCAGCAGGAGGCCAGTCCCTGTGCTCCTCAGAGTCCCAGCAGGAGGCCAGTCCCTGTGCTCCTCAGAGTCCCAGCAGAAGGCCAGTCCCTGTGCTCCTCAGAGTCCCAGCAGGAGGCCAGTCCCTGTGCTCCTCAGAGTCCCAGCAGGAGGCCAGTCCCTCTCGAATAAACTTTGAGCTTTCTATTTATGAAAGAAGTCATATTTTGGACAGAGCTTTGGACAAACCCTTCCTGTTTTCTAACATTGTGTTCGAGTTTCTTTATTGTTGCTCATAAATCTATCTTTTTATACTTCTTTTAACAGCTGATGATCACAGACGGTGAGTTTGCTGATAGTAGTATTACTACGCTAAAGTTAGAGATTTTATTTTACTTCAGTATAGAGTTATTTGGGGGTTAGCATTCAGCCGTTCTGCTCCCAGCTCTGGAACTCACTCCACTCTGACCTCCGCAACACCGACTCTCTTCCCCTGTTCTAATCCAGACTCAAAGCTCACCTTTTCAGACTTTCTCTCCCCACATGACCAGTCACATGACCAGTCACATGACCAGCCACATGACCAGCCACATGACCAGTCACATGACCAGTCACATGACCAGCCACATGTCCAGTCACATGACCAGTCACCAACACTTCCGTCCAGTTGTGTTGTTTTCTGTTTTGAACCACGTTTGTTCAGTGTCCTTTGGTGTCTTGAAAAGCGCTTTTAAATCAGATTATTTTTCCTTCTGTTCTGTAACCGCTGACGCAACACTGACATTTCCCCACCGTGGGCCACATACAGTCAAGGATCTCCTAATCTCACTCCTAATCTCAGTCCTAGTCCCTGTGTGTCTGTTTTCCCAGGCAGGGCTGACACAGGGACAGAAAGTTGCATCAGTTTTGTAGTGATCTAGGGACGGCTCATTTTTCATGTGGCAGCTGTGTGGGAATGTGACGCTGCGTAATGAGATCCAGCAGATGTAAAATCAAATGTTTTTGGCTTCGAAGTGTTGCACGTACGGAGACGGAGAAATGACAAACAAGGGAAATATGCAATTAAGAAAGAAAGATGCGTTTTCATCCATAAGCTTGTTGCTCTGGGTTTCACCAAAAGTTATGAATGAATCTGTTCAGAGGAAAGTGAAGTTTGAGGATTCGAGCTCAGATAAAGTATGTCCATCATCGAATTTATTTGGATTGGATGGTTTTTCAATATAGCTGTCTGTGTATGTCATTGGAATGTTGTTTGGATGTGTATGTATATATGTGTATGTGTATATTTGTATGTATATATGTGCATGTATATACTGTATGTCTTGTCACACTTTTGTGCCCTTTAGTATGAACAAGCCCATATGTGTATGTATATATGTGTATGTATGTATGTGTATGTTATGTGTATGTATGTATGTGTATGTTATATATTGTGTATGTATATATGTGTATGTGTATGTATATATGTGTATGTATATATGTGCATGTATATATGTGTATGTGTATGTATATATGTGTATGTATATATGTTTATGTATATATGTGTATGTATGTATGTGTATGTATGTATATAGTGTATGTATATATGTGTATGTATGTATGTGTATGTATATATGTGTATGTGTATGTATATATGTGTATGTATATATGTGCATGTATATATGTGTATGTGTATGTATATATGTGTATGTATATATGTTTATGTATATATGTGTATGTATGTATGTGTATGTATACATGTGTATGTATGTATGTGTATGTATGTATGTATGTGTATGTATGTATGTGTATGTATATATGTGTATGTATGTATGTGTATGTATATATGTGTATGTATATATGTGTATGTGTATGTATATATGTGTATGTATATATGTGCATGTATATATGTGTATGTGTATGTATATATGTGTATGTATGTATGTATGTGTATGTATGTATGTGTATGTATATATGTGTATGTATGTATGTATGTGTATGTATGTATGTGTATGTATGTATGTATGTGTATGTATGTATGTATGTATGTGTATGTATATATGTGTATGTATATATGTGTATATATATGTGTATGTATATATGTGTATGTATATATGTGTATGTATGTATGTGTATGTATGTATGTGTATGTATGTATGTATGTGTATGTATATATGTGTATGTATATATGTGTATGTATGTATGTATGTGTATGTATATATGTGTATGTATGTATGTGTATGTATATATGTGTATGTATATATGTGTATGTATATACATTATGTGTACATATGTGTATGTATGTGTATGTATGTATGTGTATGTATATATGTGTATGTATGTATGTGTATGTATGTATGTGTATGTATGTATGTGTATGTATGTATGTGTATGTATGTATGTATGTGTATGTATGTATGTGTATGTATATATGTGTATGTATGTATGTGTATGTATATATGTGTATGTATATATGTGTATGTATATATGTGTATGTATATATGTGTATGTATATATGTGTATGTATGTATGCATCAAACAGAAATGTCCCAATTGTGGGACGAATAAAGGTTCTTCTTCTTCTTAAATGATCATTTTATTGAATCAAATTTGGGAGGTTGCATTTTAATTCTCCTTTTGGCGCAGAAAAGTCTGGACAAAGGTGTTTTAGTTTGTTGATCCATTTTGCCAAAAGGAAGCAGGCTTTGTACTATTGACATCCAAACAGATCAAACTTTCTGTCATTGATCGTTAGTTCTGTTGGTTCTTCCCTTCCTGTCTTTAGACGAAGGCGTGTCTGGTCGACCAAGAACAAGTAACGATCGGTTCCAAGTCAGTTTAAATTAACACAATAAAACAAAAATGTCAAACAGGAGTTGTGAGCCCATTTGGACGGGTAAGAAATGGAAAAGTCAGAACAAAGCAGGTGCTGAAGGTGGCGGCAAAAAACAAAAATTGGTTTATATAAATATATATCGACGTTGGTAAATATCGGTATCGGTCAAAACAGCAATATTAACACTGATCCCAATCCCACCAAATAGAAAAAAAAGTGTGAAATATTTTGGACTTTTATTCAAAAAGGTAGATTAAAATTCAGCAGCTGGATCAGAGGGTTGATCTTGCCTGACCAAACAGAACCACAATCATTTTTATAATAATTAAAGCATTTACAAACACAAGTGGCTCAGGATTAGTGATAAAAAACAATCAGAGAAAAGTGGATTTGGCAGAAAAATGACTAAAAAACACAATCTTTCCACAGTAAGCAGTACTTTACTTTTCCAAACCCTATTAACCCTTAAAGTACCAGAGTTTTTTCATGAATTTGACACAAGTTGGGGCCTAGAAACTGTAGTAGAGAAATCCTGGAAATCTAAGAAATGAAGTACATGTATGAAGTTTTTTTAAGTCTATCTTTTTACTCTTATATACTTTTTTTTCTTCTAATTCCTAGATACTTACAATGGCGATCAAGTACTTTTCCGTTGTGTTTGTGCACCGGTCCTGGCGCCTGTTTATTTCCACATTGGGAGATCAATACACTTTTGGGGTTACCAACTCTCGATCACGACCTGCAGGAGCTGCCAACTCGGATGTTTGTCCAAAGCGAATTCCAAGTTCTCGTATTGGACCAGTGAGCTGTGATTGGAGAGTTCAGAACCAATCCAATCATCCCAATGCAGAAGGGTCTGACTGCTCTGTTAATGACGGAAGTGTTTGCTTCCCCTAACCCTTGCTTTTGTTTTACAGTAAAGCATAGGATCTATCTATCCTCTATATCTATTTATCTATCTACAGTATCCATCTCAGTCTGTATATCTATCTAATGTATCTCTCTCTCTCTATCTCTCCCTCTATCTGTCTCTCTCTAGCTATCTATCTACCTCTGTCTGTTTTTCTCTCTCTCGCTCTCTCTCTCTCGCTCTCTCTCGCGCTATCTCTCTCGCTCTCTCTCTCGCTCTCTCTCTCGCTCTCTCGTTTTTGCTCTCTCTCTATCTCGCTCTATCTCTCTCGCTCTCTCGTTTTCTCTCTCTCTCTCTCTCGCTCTCTCTCGATCTCTCTCTCTCTTGCTCTCTTTCTCTCTCTTTCTCTCGCTCTTTCTCTCGCTCTCTCGCTCTTTCTCTCGCTCTCTCTCTCTCTCTCGCTCTCTCTCTCTCTCTCTCTCTCTCTCTCTCTCTCTCTCTCTCTCTCTCTCTCTCTCTCTCTCTCTCTCTCTCTCTCTCTCTCTCTCTCTTTCTCTCTCTCGCTCTCTCTCTCTTGCTCTCTCTCTCTCTCTTTCTCTCTCTCGCTCTCTCTCTCTTGCTCTCTCTCTCTCTCTTTCTCTCGCGCACTCTCTTTCTCTCTCTCTCTCTCTCTCTCTCTCTCTCTACCTCTGCCCATAACATTCCAAAGTATACCTTTTTGTACATTTTAATTTCTTGGAATTGCCAAATGTACCATAGACTTTCTCCCATTCTTACTTATTTTTCTATTTATCTGATTTCTCCAACAGTCGAAGCCACACGCCAATCATCACCGATTCCTCCACCGTCACACTCGACCAACTTTTAACGGATTTGTCTAAAGTCCACCTCACTGAAATGGAATCCCCATGAAAACTTAAGCCGTGGTCTCTGATAAATCACATATTCTATTAGCCCAGGTCTCTTTGTGCGCCCTGACCCTGCGGATTTAAAGCACTCCTCCACAGAAGAAAGAAGACAATCACATTCAGACTCATGATGTGCACGATGGCCGCAGCCGCCTCATTACCGCTGCTCGGCGCCTCCTCGGACACCGGCTAAATGCTAATCTACCCCACATTGTTTGGTGCCATGTAATCTTTGTAATGGCTTTTTAATTTGCCGTGGAATAGGAACTCTCAAGAATGGGAAAGAATTGGCTTTTCCAAATGTTCACTTGGCTCTCGCTCGACACGCACGGTTAATATTCCATGCGTCGTGTAAGTCGTCATGCCGATTTCCGTGTTTTATTTGGGTTTTTTTCTCTTTTTTGTATTTAGCTTCAGACTTGGATCCAGCTCCTAATTTCAATAATTGTTTGATCATCTGTTTGTGGAGAGTCAGTCAATGGCCTCGCACCAAAGTACATCTGTGGTATATACAGGGACTGGCCTCCTGCTGGGACTGAGGAGCACAGGGACTGGCCTCCTGCTGGGACTGAGGAGCACAGGGACTGGCCTCCTGCTGGGACTCTGAGAAGCACAGGGACTGGGTCCCTGCTTGGACTCTGAGGAGCACAGGGACCGGCCTCCTGCTGGGACTGAGGAGCACAGGAACTGGTCTCCTGCTGGGACTAAGGAACACAGGGACAGGCCTCCTGCTGGGACTCTGAGGAGCACAGGGACTGGGTCCCTGCTTGGACTCTGAGGAGCACAGGGACCGGCCTCCTGCTGGGACTGAGGAGCACAGGAACTGGTCTCCTGCTGGGACTAAGGAACACAGGGACTGGCCTCCTGCTGGGACTAAGGAACACAGGGACTGGCCTCCTGCTGGGACTAAGGAACACAGGGACTGGCCTCCTGCTGGGACTAAGGAACACAGGGACTGGCCTCCTGCTGGTCCCAGAGTCAGGACTAAACTCTAATGGTGGAGCCTGCATTTCAGATTTATGCATCAAAAATCTAGAGTAGTCTTCCTGAAAATGTGAGACAGGCTTCTTCTTTGGCGATGATCAAATCCAGGTTAAAAACAACTGAAGGATGTTCTGTCTTTCTAATGTGCAGTGATTATTCATGATTGTAATGCCTTGTCTATTGTCTACTTCTGATTACGAACAATTGTCGTCTAATCTAATGATTTGAGAGAAACTGTAAAACTCAAAACGAAAGCACCACTTGCATTATCTACTACTTATCTATTTTCTACTACTTGGTCTTGAACAGGAGCAGATTCGTTTGGCACTTACTGTGAGGGAAGCGTGGCGGGTTGTCGTTGACGTCGGTGAGGGTCACGGTGACGGAGGTGGTCCCGGACAGACCCCCCATCTGGCCCACCATGTCTTTGGCCTGGATCACCAGAACGTACTGGTTCCGCGTCTCCCGGTCCATGTTGGGCAGAGCCGTCCTGATCACACCTGAAGAAAGGAGAAGGATCAGGGTCAACGATTCAGACGACAAACGGACTGACACTTTTGCAAGGATTTAGTGATGCTAAAAACAACTAGAAATATTAATCGTCATAATCAAAACAATTGATTGGTTTTATTCGGCGCTTTTTGGACACTCAAAGACACTTCACATCATAGTTCTTTCACTCCAAACACGGCGGTGATAAACTACTACTTTAGCCACAGCTGCCCTGGGGCACACTGACAGAAGCGAGGCAACTAGTCTGTGCCATCAGCCCCTCCCACCACCACCAACCCTTCACACACACACACCAGACTCATTCTAATGTGGGTGAAGTGTCTTGCTTAAGAACACAGCCACAGTTTGCCACTTTACAGCCGCAGCCGCCTCACTGTCTCCCATCACAGCACTAACCAGGCCCTGTCCTGCTTAGCTTCAGAGCTCCGACGGGATCTAGGTTTTCGTATGCAAGTATGGCCACTACTTTTAAACCACCGTCCGGTTTTATTGTGCTTGTTTTCCAAATACTGTCAGTGAAAAAAAATATTAATAATCAAAATCTATCAAAGAAGAATACAATCTTTCAATCTTTTTAAGCTAATCTCAGAATCACGACGTGGCTGAATCGAGACATTGTCAAAGTGACCTAATCCTTCCAATGCCACCGCAGCTCCCTCCACAGTTAATAACTTACCTCACTTTGTGTTTTCGTACATTAAGCGGCTCCTAAAGATGGCGACTGAACATCACAGATTAATAATTAAGAGGCCCACCGAGCTGAGGCGTCGGGTCGGAGAAATAATTCAGAGCGCTTTATCAGACTGGCAGACTTATGGAGCACATCAAACAGCAGCTTAGATTCAATCCATCAAACATTCCGTGTAATCCTCTCTGTTACAAAACTGCAAAGTCCAAGGTCCAAGAAATGATGGTGGAATCACATCTATAGCATTAAAGAAGTGATTTCACCGACGGGGATCTTTCCTTTGACTGAGCTTGATCGACAGCAACCAATACTTTCTACAGTGAAAAGTTGGTCCAAGTTTAGATTGGGACTAACACTATGCAGTATTCATATCTACGTATGGATATAGTTGGCCCTTAAAGGTATACAGAAGGATTTTTCCAAAGTTTAGGAAAGAACCGCCCTCTCCACTTTCTCAAAAAAACTCTTAACTTGTTCCCAGTCCTTTTCAAGCGTAATTTTTGTTAATAAAACAAAACATACTGTATATCTGTAAATGTATTGTGTTTTTTTTCTATTCTGTTGTTGTGCTGTTTTTGTTCTTGTCTGCCATGGCTCTAAATAAAGTATCCACTCTCTGGTCTTGGAGGTCCAATAGTCTTGATGATCCACCCGGAAGTAGAAAATCCCAACCCAATATACCTTTAAATCTGCTTCTGATAACATGTTCCCACTGTGATACCATCTTAATCAAAGGTACACAGGAGGATTTTCTACTTCCGGGTGGATCATCAAGACTGTCGGTCCTATTGATTACAGTCTTCCTGAAGATGTGAGACAGGCCTCCTCAATGACAATGTTTAAAACCAGGTTAAAGACAGTTCTGTTTAGCTGTGCATACAACTGAGGGATTTTATATTTTTATCTTTATTTTTAATGTTCTGTGATTATTTATGATTTTAATGCTTTCTTATTTGGTTCAGCACTTTGAATTGCCTTGTGTATGAATTGTGCTATATAAATAAACTTGCCTTGCCTAACTGTCAATAACTCTGTGTTCGTCAAATTAGACCAGAGAGTTTTGTTCAAAAAGTGGAGAGGGCGGTTCTTTCCTAAAAATTGGGAAAATCCTCCTTTATATCTTTAACACTAGAATGCCCGGCTATATTGACGCCCAGTTTAGGAGAAGAGGAGCTAACTCGCTGCTTTGGATGCTAACATTTGCATGTCAAATGAGGTGATGACCGAAACAGTACATGTAATGGTGCTTTTTACAACCCCCTCAGTTAATGTGATAATGAACGTCTTCGACACTACCATCTAGGGGCAGAAATGCAAAATGGTGGTCCTCAAAGGGTCGGTGAGGCTACAGGTTTGCCTTCCAACCAAGCAGGAGCACACCAGACTCCGCCCACTTCCTCCAGTACGTCCAGTTTTATTTCATTCCTTATTTGTGCCAAAGTGGGGAAATTTCAGTGTTGCATCACAAGTTACAGAACAGTAGGAATGAAGAGCACACAAACACAACACAAGATAAGTGAAAATTAGGTCACAAGTCACATAAACCTGGAGACTTGAGGAAATGGGTGGCGTTTATTTTGCTCCTGCTTGGTTGGAACGAAAAGCAGCCACGCCTTTCTGGAACCAGTTTAACTACCCCCTACTGCAGGATGGGTCTAAAGCTCTAAAACGTTTACAACAGATGGAGGACAAACATTAAAACAGGATTAAAGGATTAAAACAAATGTGTGAATAAATTCAAAATATTCTGGAAAGTCTCCTGGAGTCTTGAACTCTTGAAGCAATTCTGCTTAAAGGATATTAAAGGATGCAACCCAAACACCTAGCATCAATAAAACCGCTTCCCTACCTTGCTCGGACAGGCAATGGTTTGTCATGGTTCTGTTGGCACCCCCTCCTGTTCCACCACGACTGTAAACATTGGTCGTGTTGTTTGCTGTTATCCACTGACAGTCGCTCTGGACACATGTTGAATCTTTTCAGTGTCGCGGTTATTTCCCCGGCGTTGGACCATGATGTAACATTCAAACTTGCAGTAGTCTTGCTTTTGGTTCTGTCCTGTCTGTCCGAAGAAGAGAGACTGAAGAAGAGACTGAAGTAGAGAGACTGAAGAAGAGAGACTGAAGTAGAGAGACTGAAAAAGAGACTGAAGTAGAGAGACTGAAGAAGAGAGATTAAAGGAGAGAGACTGAAGAAGAGACTGAGGTGGGGAGACTGAAAAAAAGACTGAAGTAGAGAGACTGAGGTGGGGAGACTGAAGAAGGGACTGAAGAAGAGAGACTGAAAAAGAGACTGAAGTAGAGAGACTGAAGAAGAGAGACTGAAAAAGAGACTGAAGTAGAGAGACTGAAAAAGAGACTGAAGTAGAGAGACTAAAGAAAAGAGACTAAAGGAGAGAGAATGAAGAAGAGACTGAGGTGGGGAGACTGAAAAAAAGACAGAAGAAGAGAGACTGAAGTAGAGAGACTGAGGAAGAGACTGAAGTGGAGAGACTGAAGAAGAGAGACTGAAGTAGAGAGACTGAAGAAGAGAGACTGAAGAAGAGAGACTGAAGTAGAGAGACTGAGGAAGAGAGACTGAAGAAGAGACTGAAGTGGAGAGATTGAAAAAGAGAGACTGAAGTAGAGAGACTGAAGAAGAGAGACTGAAGAAGAGAGACTGAGGAAGAGACTGAAGTGGAGAGACTGACGAAGAGAGACTGAAGTAGAGAGACTGAAGAAGAGACTGAAGTGGAGAGATTGAAAAAGAGAGACTGAAGAAGAGAGACTGAAGAAGAGAGACTGAAGAAGAGAGACTGAAGTAGAGAGACTGAAGAAGAGAGACTGAAAAAGAGACTGAAGTAGAGAGACTGAAGAAGAGAGACTAAAGGAGAGAGACTGAAGAAGAGGGACTGAAGTGGAGAGACTGAAGAAGAGAGACTGAAGTAGAGAGACTGAAGTAGAGAGACTGAGGAAGAGAGACTGAAGAAGAGACTGAAGTGGAGAGATTGAAAAAGAGAGACCGAAGAAGAGAGACTGAAGTAGAGAGACTGAAGTAGAGAGACTGAAGAAGAGAGACTGAAGAAGAGACTGAAGTAGAGAGATTGAAGAAGAGAGACTGAAGAAGAGAGACTGAGGAAGAGAGACTGAAGAAGGGAGACTGAAAAAGAGACTGAAGTAGAGAGACTGAAAAAGAGACTGAAGTAGAGAGACTAAAGAAAAGAGACTAAAGGAGAGAGACTGAAGAAGAGACTGAGGTGGGGAGACTGAAAAAAAGACTGAAGAAGAGAGACTGAAGTAGAGAGACTGAGGAAGAGACTGAAGTGGAGAGACTGAAGTAGAGAGACTGAAGTAGAGAGACTGAAGAAGAGACTGAAGTGGAGAGACTGAAGTAGAGAGACTGAAGAAGAGAGACTGAAGAAGAGGGACTGAAGAAGAGGGACTGAAGTGGAGAGACTGAAGTAGAGAGACTGAAGTAGAGAGACTGAAGTAGAGAGACTGAAGTAGAGAGACTGAAGTAGAGAGACTGAAGAAGAGACTGAAGTGGAGAGATTGAAAAAGAGAGACTGAAGAAGAGAGACTGAAGAAGAGAGACTGAAGTAGAGAGACTGAAGAAGAGAGACTGAAAAAGAGACTGAAGTAGAGAGACTGAAGTAGAGAGACTGAAGAAGAGAGACTGAAGAAGAGACTGAAGTGGAGAGATTGAAAAAGAGAGACTGAAGAAGAGAGACTGAAGTAGAGAGACTGAAGTAGAGAAACTAAAGAAGAGAGACTGAAGAAGAGAGACTGAGGAAGAGAGACTGAAGAAGAGAGACTGAAGTAGAGAGACTGAAAAAGAGACTGAAGTAGAGAGACTAAAGAAAAGAGACTAAAGGAGAGAGACTGAAGAAGAGACTGAGGTGGGGAGACTGAAAAAAAGACTGAAGTAGAGAGACTGAGGAAGAGACTGAAGTGGAGAGACTGAAGAAGAGAGACTGAAGAAGAGAGACTGAAGAAGAGGGACTGAAGTGGAGAGACTGAAGTAGAGAGACTGAAGTAGAGAGACTGAGGAAGAGAAACTGAAGAAGAGAGACTGAAGTAGAGAGACTGAAAAAGAGAGACTGAAAAAGAGACTGAAGTGGAGAGACTGAAGAAGAGAGACTAAAGGAGAGAGACTGAAGAAGAGACTGAAGTAGAGAGACTGAAGAAGAGAGACTGAAAAAGAGACTGAAGTAGAGAGACTAAAGAAAAGAGACTAAAGGAGAGAGAATGAAGAAGAGACTGAGGTGGGGAGACTGAAAAAAAGACAGAAGAAGAGAGACTGAAGTAGAGAGACTGAGGAAGAGACTGAAGTGGAGAGACTGAAGAAGAGAGACTGAAGTAGAGAGACTGAAGAAGAGAGACTGAAGAAGAGAGACTGAAGTAGAGAGACTGAGGAAGAGAGACTGAAGAAGAGACTGAAGTGGAGAGATTGAAAAAGAGAGACTGAAGAAGAGAGACTGAAGAAGAGAGACTGAAGTAGAGAGACTGAAGAAGAGACGACTGAAGTGGAGAGATTGAAAAAGAGAGACTGAAGAAGAGAGACTGAAGAAGAGAGACTGAAGAAGAGAGACTGAAGTAGAGAGACTGAAGAAGAGAGACTGAAAAAGAGACTGAAGTAGAGAGACTGAAGAAGAGAGACTAAAGGAGAGAGACTGAAGAAGAGAGACTGAAGTAGAGAGACTGAAGTAGAGAGACTGAAGTAGAGAGACTGAGGAAGAAAGACTGAAGAAGAGATTGAAAAAGAGAGACTGAAGAAGAGAGACTGAAGTAGAGAGACTGAAGTAGAGAGACTGAAGAAGAGAGACTGAAGAAGAGACTGAAGTGGAGAGATTGAAAAAGAGAGACTGAAGAAGAGAGACTGAAGTAGAGAGACTGAAGTAGAGAAACTAAAGAAGAGAGACTGAAGAAGAGAGACTGAGGAAGAGAGACTGAAGAAGAGAGACTGAAAAAGAGACTGAAGTAGAGAGACTGAAAAAGAGACTGAAGTAGAGAGACTAAAGAAAAGAGACTAAAGGAGAGAGACTGAAGAAGAGGGACTGAAGTGGAGAGACTGAAGTAGAGAGACTGAAGAAGAGAGACTGAAGAAGAGAGACTGAAGAAGAGGGACTGAAGTGGAGAGACTGAAGTAGAGAGACTGAAGTAGAGAGACTGAAGTAGAGAGACTGAGGAAGAGAGACTGAAGAAGAGACTGAAGTGGAGAGATTGAAAAAGAGAGACTGAAGAAGAGAGACTGAGGAAGAGAGACTGAAGAAGAGAGACTGAAGAAGAGATACTGAAGTAGAGAGACTGAAGAAGAGACTGAAGAAGGCAGAACCAAAGAGAAGAAGAGAGTCTGAAGGAGAGAGACTGAAGTAGAGAGTCTGAAGGAGAGAGACTGAAGTAGAGAGTCTGAAGGAGAGAGACTGAAGTAGAGAGTCTGAAGGAGAGAGACTGAAGTAGAGAGTCTGAAGGAGAGAGTCCACACCATCTAATTGGCTAAATCCACAATAGACTATAGTGTCATAGGTTGTAGCATTGAGAGCTAGGCCTGTAACAGGTTCATCAATTATTGAAGTACTTTTTCACCAATTAAATTATTCATTCATTATTTTTGAACCTCACTAAATAGGTTTCATGGCTCAGCTAATTCTAGGATGACTGCAGAACAAAATGAAAATATTTTTGAACTAAACCCAAAGAGTACTAAGACTTCTGTGGATGTTCTCTAGCCCCTGGAGAATCCCACTGGAATCCCAAATATTTACTAAAATATTGGGATCCAAACAACTAATAATAAATAATAATCTGAAAATATGCCAACTAATCCATCAAATCAAATCAAAATTATACTTTGAGAAGGTTCCTCTTAGTATTCTTAGTAAGTTAGTTGGTTCTTCTATCATTGAAGCGTCTCCTCTGAGGTAAAAGGACTTTTTCCGTCAAAACATGTCAAGGTCATAACGTCACTATCTTACATCGGTCTGTTGTAGAAGAACCAAATATTATTATCAAAATAATATAAATAATTCGAAAACATTGCATTTAGACAGACGGGGTGGGGAACATGATTGTGCTTGTGTGTCCCAGAAGCTCCTGATATTAGCGTGAGTTCACCTAAAAACACCAAGAACGGGTTTATAAAATAATCTGAAAAGAGACCATTTTGGACACGTCTTGCCAGAAAGTACATCATCGATATGAACTGGCCCATGTGGGATCCAAACCACCAACCACCACCGTGGCTTCAAACATCAATAAAATAAGAGGTCATTAATATTCTGCCTGCACATAAAACTGAAAATCTAGCCCTTTCTGCATAATCAAATAAGTATAAGTCGGCCTGAACTATCACACAGACTTCAGACTTGGCTTAATTCAAACTATTTTACGTTTGATATTTTCGAACGCTGCTTAAATTTCCAGCCATTTCTCGGCTCCACGTTTCAAATTAAACCCATTTTTCCGGTCTTCCCCGCACCGCAGTAATTAAGATCAAACTTGGGGAACAAAGCAGGAGCTAGCATCCCCGAAAAAAGTGGGTCAGGCAAATCCACGGCGGCAGCAGCAGCAGCGGCAGCGTTCGCCCGCCTCTTGACCGCGCGATGCCTGCTCTCCAAAACAAACAATTCCATTAGCTGCTTAATTTTCTCCTCTTGCCATCCTTTATTAATGTCATTACACGCCGCGCCATTGGAGGCTGCAGTGGAAAGAGCTAGGTCGGCTAAACGTCCGCTTGTTCGCTCCGGGTGCTCTGCCAGTTCGCTTCCAGAGGTGGCACCGCGGCGGTCGATAATGCAATAATCCCATTCGGCTGTTTTACAATATGTGCCATTTGAGCAGAACGGCGCCTAATGGATTGCGGCTCAATGACAAATACTGCTTCTCTTACATTAGGGTGT